CTTTTTAATTGGAGCCTAAGCTATTTAACTTCATTTCTGCCCATCTACACTTTCTCTTATCCTTAGACAATCGTTAAATTACAATTTAGTCCACAACTTTTCCAAATTGAAAAGAACATCAGTCCCTTAACATTATTAATTTGTGGTAATAGAGTTTTAAATAGCATTGATTTGTGTATTAAAGAATTTTAAACAAAGAACAAAACAAAATAAACAATTTAATTGTGCAATCAGAAGAACACGCTAAATTTTAGTTCTGCTTTGCGTTCTTAACCTTAATTCTTTCTTTGCTTTTCCTCTCATATTTGTGAATCTTGGACACGGTATTGACACCATCAATTTAATGCTCAAATTATGAAAAATGATTTCACTCACATAATACTGAAAGGTAAGAGGGCACGCAATTCACTGGATTTCCTCATGAATTTATAAAAAGCAGCACTTTGACCCATATCATAACGGTGTCAAGAATAGAGAACGTGAACATAGGAAACCATAACACAGAAAACCATAATCCAAAGTTCCAAACAACCAGACCTACCCCTAAAACAGCACATAACATAAATCTAGTTCCTCCAGTTACCATCTGAGGCACCGCCACCCCTAGAGTAACGGGATCCACCATCACGACCATAGTCACGGCGACCACCGCCATAACCACCGCCTCCATAACCACCGCTTCCATAACCACCGCCATCACGACGACCACCACCGTAACCTCCTTCACGACGGCCACCACCGTAGCCACCACCGCCTCCGCGGCTAAATCCGCCACCGCCACCGCCACCGCCTCCACGGGACTGAGCCTGGTTCACAGTGATATTCCTTCCGTCAAGATTCTGACCGTTCATGCCTTCAATCGCATCCAACATAGACTTCTCATCACGGAAAGTGACGAATCCGAAACCTCTCGATCTCCCTGTCTCCCGATCGTTGACGATCTACACCACAGACAAAAGCAGAATTAATATACCGCCGAAAACCATCAACCAAAACATGAAAATCACATCGATCGATCTCCGTCCAGAGGATGAAGATGGAACGTACCAGTGAGAGATTAAAAGAACAGTAACACAAGTATCAAGAAACAAGTAACACAAACACAGCAGATCAGGGATCACAGATCAGGTCGGATCGGGTCAGATCTGGGGTCCTATCCCTGCAACAAACGGACCTTCGATTCAACAATCTCGCCGAACTGGCTGAAGGCATTTTCAAGAGCCTGATCATCGGTGGCCCAGGCGAGCCCTCCGACGAAGCATCGGAATTCAACATCAGCAGCGGCCATCGGAACAAGAACCTATAATAAGGAAGAGCAGCAAAATAAATGGAAAACAAAAATTATAAAACGCAGAGGCCTAAACCACGCTTTTATAGGGGGTGTCCCCTAACTAAGGTTAGTTTAGGGCAGGATTGCAGTCTACTTGTTAACTATGGTTAAATTGATGGAGCGGGGGAGAACGTGCTAGTATGTTTGGTTACGGGTATAAGTTTATCCTGGATTTTATTTTATTTTATTTTTTGTGAATAAAATGCAGAG